TATCCTAATACAAATTTTGTGATACCCAATGTTATAAGGAACCAATATATTGTATTTGAAAAGTGAACCTTTATGATCCAACGAGATTATCCAGTCCACGAATCATCTCCAAATCCCAATTTCTAATATACTGATTAAAATTTGAACAAAACAAATTCTTATGTGACTATTATTGTACAGAGAGGGTATAATCAAATATAAACTCAATATTTGTTACAAACCTACAAATCAGTTTTAATGTGTTATGAAACATGCAATGTTACTATAGTGTTGTTTCATATATGAAACCTTAGGGATTGTTTTGCATGTGGAAAAAAACATAAATATACGTTTCACATAGAAACACATATATATACACACACATACACAAACACAAACAAGAATAAAAACATGTGAAACAATATGAATCGTAACTTAGAATCAAAGTAATTGAACGATTTGTATTGGTTTGTACGAATTTGTAACGGATATTGAGTTTTTATTTTATATTTGCTCATAGTATATGTATGCCATCAATAAATACTTTTGTTTAAATATGTAACTGGATTAAAATACAATGATTACTTAGTTATTTTACATCTTATGAGGTATATTCATACCCGACTTCTATAATATTTACTGTTTTTGGCTATTGGATCTGTCACTGCGTTTAGAAGTGGATTTGAATTCCCTACCACAATGTCTGGAAAGGATATTCTCATTTTCACAAACCATTAAGGGGTCGTTTATCAAATGCTTACTTGAGTAAGTGTTAACTAAGTTATATTACCTTATCGGATGAATTTGGTAAGAACCAAAAATCTTACCCGGTAAGAACGAGGCAAGAACTGAGAGTCTTACCCGGTAAGAACGAGGCAAGGAGTGAGAGTCTTACCCGGTAAGTGAGAGCAATGATTCTTACCACGGTCAGCTCTTACCGGATAAATTGTTGCATAGAAATTTGTTTTTGTTGACTAAAATCTTACCCAGTAAGTAAATAATAATACTAAATTTTACCGATAAGTGTTTACTGGGTAAGTGTTTGATAAACGATCCCTAAGTTACCATAAACACTTTTCAATAATATATTTTATTCATCGAATAACATGCTCGATTCTAATTCAAGATATATCTTCAGGTTTGGAAGAAAAAAAAAACCCTTTTTTCAGTTTAATTTGTGAATTTTGATATTATCTAAGTCAAATTGAATAAGAACCGACTAAACACCTGATGCAAGTACTATATCACAGAGCACTAAAAAGAGAAACACCAAATAACAACAACTTTATTTGTAGAAAAAGAATTTAAATGATATGAAAAGAAACTTTTTTCCCCTGGATTTCTTGAACGACTGATATTTGATCGAAAAGACGATAGACTGATATATGTGGTTCAATTTGAGGCTCCAATGTAATTCGAATTCCTTGCATTAGGATGTGCACGATTTAGTGTGACTGACTTAGAGCATAAAATATCTTATAAACTTGGTAAATTTGATTTGGGATCTTTAGAAATCAGGATGATCGATTTACTAGGCTTGGTCGGACATGTCAAGCTAACCATAAAAGTTTGGCTTTGTCTGAATCGCCAAACCAAACCATTAAGCAATTAGCGAAAATACATCAGTCTGGATGACAATAGTCTAAGGGGCTGTTTGGCAGTTGCTGAATGATTTAGTTCAGAATAGCTAAGAGGTTAGAATGGCTAAGAGGGTCAGAATGGTTAAGTGCTGAATGAAACAAAGTTGTTTG